GTTGGGTACTATTTTAAATGAGTTAATACATGTAAAGTGCTTCAATTAGGACCAGATAAGTGTTAGCTATTAACTCACTTAAACCTCAAAACAACCCTAAAAGTAGGTACAATTATTACCTCTGAAGCACAGAGAGGTTAAGTTATAGGCCTCAGGACCCACAGCCAATAAGTGGTAGAACCAGAATTAGAATCCAGATAGTGTGATTCCAGAGTCTGGCTCCTAACCATGACACTGCAGCAATGTCACAAAGAGAGATATTGCAGCCATAAGCAGTGCTTGTGCTCGAAGCTGATGGTTACGATGTCTGAAGAGGACACACTGGATTCAGCAACGTGGTCATGATATGTCGGGGAGAAACCAGACTACGGCGATTGAGGTGGGACGGTCAGAGGCCACAGGGAGCATAGGATACTTTTAAGAAACTTAGCCACAAAAGAAAGAAGAGAGGGTGATGGCTGGGTAGAGGGAATCACAAGATTATGAGAATATTTTATTAACAGGGAAATTGTAGGTATGATTTTTTTATGTTGAGGGATAATAAATCAATGGAAAGAGAGAAAGGAAGAAAATCCTAGAGGCAGAGAGAACAAGAAATGTCTAGGTGGTACTGAAGGGATAGTTTTTGAAGCCCAGTGAAACAAGTAGCTTCAGACTAGATGGGGGACAGACAGATTTACTTCTGAGACAGGAGGAGGAGATGAGGACAGGTGTGGATGAAGATGATATTATAGAAGGAAAGGAACTTTGAGAGCCTCAATTTGTTCTGTAAAATAGAAAATTAAGTCACTATGCTCTCCATGCTCCTGCAACTACTTCACAAAGACATAGAATAAATTACTCAACATGCGAATGATTCCATATGCATCTCTCTGAAACCACAGCATGCTATTCCTTCTGAACGAACAGTTATACACACCCAATATGCCCCTTCCTGTATATTGTCTTGGAGCTGAAAGTTTGCTCTTTGATCCCTCTTTCTGTCTAAATTAGGGCACAAATTCCTTTCCTATGTACGCAAGCACAAATTCTCCGTATTACAAAATGGTTCCTCTCAGCTATACAAGAGAAATCTTAATGGGGTGGTACCCAATTTGTGCATAACAAATCCTAAACTACCCTTATCTTGTTACGTCCACATAGTTCTCCTACATTTTTATCCTAAAGTCAACTTTCCCTCTCTCTGCCTTCTTCCTATTACCACTCTTCTGCTAAAATTGTATAAAGCTCCGTCTACCTTCTTTATTCCTCGCATACTTATAAACTTTTTTTTGTTAACGCATTCTTTGTTCTTTATTTTTTCAGGGCTTCCAGGTCTGACCTAAAAGTGAGAAAAGTTTTTCCTTCAACGTAGTACTCGCGCCCACTCTGAAGTCATATTTATAATCCTCGAACAAATTCTCATATCCCTGTGCCATTGGGCGTCCCACAATACCATAATCTCCACAAATGTAATTGCTGATCTTACAAGATCACCTGCGCTGCAGAAAATTCAGAGAAATAGTCTTAAGCTGAACTGAATGATGATGAGTTGGCTAGGCAAGATGAGGGAAGAGGTCAAGGAGATGAACTCACTATTTAAATAAGAGATTGTGTTCGGCGCCTTAAGCTTGAGACATAACACCGGTTAATAAGTTGAAGGGTCATATTGCAAGCTGCTAAGCCAAATTTAGTGTTGATTTTCTCCTCATCGAAATTAATGGCCTGTGCTGACAACAATCATATCAAATTGCATTTAAATCTATCGCATATTAAAAAAAACTCACTCCAGGCTACAGACTCCAATGGAAGATGTGGCGGCAGTCGAGGTCCTATCAGAGACAGGCCAGTTAGGCCCCCCAATAAAGGCAGAGAAATAATCATGAAATAAGAGTGTGATTGTGATAACTGGAGTAAAAGTTGACACTATAAGATTATTGATGTAAATTATCAGACCAGGCAAAAAGAGCCAGTTCTGACCACAGCGTTTCTGCATGAACTGGTGATGGTGACACATTCTGGAGAGGAAGCACAAATTGTTAATGGTCTGGTTTTTTGTTGTCTATTTTTCTGGTGGTGAGGTGCGGGTGGGCAAACTAGGAGAAGGACATGCTCCTATTTGATGTTGCTCGGGTCCTGGACTCATATAACAGACTCTATATCTTTGACTTCAGCTTTTCCTCTACCTTTCCTTGGAACAGCTGTAGGAGATTCTCATACATAAGAGAAAAAATAAAAGTTCCTGTCAGTGTTATGCTCATGCTGATTTGGCTGTAATCCCAGCCTTTGGACTGAGGCAGAGATCTTGAGCCGGTTCGACACCTGGGAACAGGAACCTGCTCAACAAAGAAACAACAGTTTATGTGGTGCCCACACGGGGGGGGGGGCGGGCGGGGTGTAGTCACAACTACTCAGAGCTTGACCCGGATTTAGCTGGAGTGCTATGATGCACCATGTCTCAGCTAGAACAGATGAAATATGAATTACTGCAATGCTGAGTTCCTAACCTTTCCTGTCCCAAAGTCTGATAAAATGCAGCTATTTATTATTATTAACTAAAATGTTCATTTTTTTAATTACAGAAAAAACACTAACTGATACTGGTCTTTCAAAAGCATCTATCAGTGTTTTTTTATTTTTCTTTAACCTCACCCACACAACAAGGGTTTTATAAGACAGAGAAAGCATGACGAGGTAGCAAAGTCACAATAACCCTATAATAAATAACCTTATAAATAGTTTGTATCTCCTATCATAGAATTCCAGAATATAGCAAATATTTCGCCCATTAACCAACAATGCATTATCTTAAAACATTCTTCAGATTTTACTGTCTGAGTGTTCGGACTTCGAGTCTTTACTATTCTAACTGACCCCTGTATTTTAAAAGGAACCACATTTTCCCATGTTTCGCTCTTTGTTCTTCGTGCTTGCTCTATGCAAAGAGAGTACCTGGAAAGGGAACCAGACCTTTCTCTTACTGAAACCAATTTTTCTTCTGTCTCAGTCGTATTAACACCATAGACGACAAAGACCTGAACTATTGCTTTCAGAGCAAATTATTGTTCTCTTCGCTGCTCTGCAAACAACACAAAAACACCCAAAAAAAAACAAAAAAAGCAAAAAACCTAATGAAGTGTTTGCAATGCCCAATGGATCACCGGTGAGGCACGCTAAGTCTGCAAGTGCACGCGAGCACCGCTAGCGGGGAAGCAGCCACCCGTCACGCGCGACAAACCTCCGTTCCGCACCGCGCCCGCCCCACGAGCCAGCCCGACCCCGGCAGCCCAGCTGCCGCGGGTCGCTGCGAGGCGGCGGATCGCCACCAGCCCGCTCGCTTTACGACTCCACCCAGGCCCTGCGGCACCCCGCGCCCTCCTTCCGAGGCGCTCACCGCGTCCCGGACTCGCGTCCTGCTCCGCCCCGCACTGGGGCGGCTTTCCGCGACGCGCGGGCGTTGTCTCTCTGGTTCCCGGTAAGGAGCCTCTGGTCTGCGTATCTCTGTTCTCGATAGCGGCTAGAAGATCCTTTTAAAGCTGTTTGCTCTGTGTTGGCGAATGCCATCATGATTTGGAAAGGTGATCCGCCCGTGTTGTTTGTTTCCAGTTAGCAAACAGCCAATGCCAGGTAAGTTTTACAGCAAGCACCTCAGACCACTAGCATATGCAAGTGGCTTCGGCATCGTGGAGGTCGGAATGCTTTCCATCCACTCCCAGGTGGCACGTTGCTCCTGGACCCTGTCATTTGTTCCTCCACGTGCGAAGGAATTAAGGTCGAATGCATCGTTTCTGTCTGATCTTAAATAGGGATTCTTGTCTATATCGGTGAAGTCAGTGTTCCAGGTCCCTGTAAAGTGGAAGGTGGCCAGAGAGAGGTCGAGTCGAGATATTGAATGGGAAGGCCCAAAGCTGAATGGAGGAATCAAAGGCCCTCTTAGGCTCCGAATAACAAGTCGTTGACCCTTGTTTTAACCGTTGTGATCCTATCTGTTCTGCAATTGGTTAAATCGGTGGCCCAGGACAAACGACGAGCCACATACACGATCAAAGTCTTATTTGCCGTGGCTAAAGCTCATCACCAAATTCTGAGCCTCATACGAATTTCCCATTGAATTATTGGGTGGTCCAAGTGGGATATCATATCTAATGCCTGCCAGGCTTATTATTGTCTGGTATAGTTAGTAATCTATTGGATCACATTAATAGGTAAGTGTGCCCAAGTAAATTTATAGTGTTCTGGATCCAGGTACATATGGTGTGGGCCGGAAGTTAAGTATTAAAAGATTTCATTATATTATAAACAATCCTTTGATTGTCAGCAATTTTTGCTTATAAATCCCCAGACAATAATACCCATAATTTCTAGGTGCCTTAGGGGTCTACAATTAAATATCAAACTGATTTTTTTTTCCATTTTTGCTATGAAGATTCATACATGTCAAGTCAAAGTTGACTTCCTTCTATGGAGCCCATATTTTTAACAATACAAATTCTAAATGAAGAATATTGATTTATATTTATTCATTATACTTTCATGATTTAGCTATAACCTAAATCAAACTAAGCCCCATTGGAGCTGTTTATTTAAATATTTTCCTTAGCCAATTCATTACAAAAATATTTAGTATACAATTAAAAAGGTAGAAAGTCCTGGCTTCATTCTTCTGATGGTCTAGCAATACACAATAAAAATCTACCTGCCTTCTAAAATTTCAGCACCATAAAAATCAAGATTTTAAATATCTACTACAAAATATGATGAGTAATATAATTTTGAAATTCTTGTAAGCATAGAAGAATTCCTTAATATTTTATAACCTGTATCAGTTTTACCTCCTACAACTATTTCAGGTGGCCACAGCCTGCAGACACTAAGCAGTTAACAGGGACACAGAAATCAGTCATTTCTAGCTAGTGCATCAGGTAATCACAGATACCAATGCTTTTATTTTAACTTACACAAAGTTTACGGGAAAAGCTGCTTCTAAACCCTGAGGGAAACTATGGAAATCAATCTCTTACCATATCTTCAGGAAATAACTTTCCTTTTTGCTGTTTAATCTTTTGCATCAGATCTCCTCCATCACAATATTCCATCACAATATACAAATGTCCTTCAGCTAAAACAGACAGAAGACTCTTTAGGAAAGCAGTAGTGGCCATAAATCAAAATCAGAAATGCACACATTTGGGGGAATTCATATTTACCTTCAAATGATTCTTTAAAGGCAACAATATTGGGGTGTTTCATTTTGGCTAACAGAACAGCCTCCTTCCTAGAATTCTGTGTATCAGAGAAAGACTGGGAAAATATTTTAAATAAGCATAAATTTAATATTGTACTTAAAAATAGTTTTCTAAATAATATAATTATATTATTATGCATAATAATATATAGTACTTCAGTGTATGATACTCAGTGCTAGATACAGTTTTATAACACTGTATTTTGACCCAACTAAAGTTTATCAAACTCCAGGAGAAAATATGTGGTGATTTTTCAACTACCGCTATATTTCGCATGCATAAGCTGGCCCCTTCCTTGTATTTTTACGAGTTTTTTTTTCATTCTTTATACGTGCAGAATGTAAACTAGTTTTAACATGAGCCTAAGTATCATTCAACTTGGATAGCCAGTATGCCACCAAAAACAGTATATACTAAAAGAAAAAAAAAGGGATCTCATGTTTTGGCTGTCTGCATTTCATCAGTCCACTGGCCCAAATGAAAAAACATTATGCTGGTGTGTTACTACATCAAGGATGCAAAAAGATGACATAAAAAGTAAGTTTCCTAAACTGTTTACCCCTAACATCCTCTATGAGGATGAAATTCTCAATGATTTATTTATCTTACAACCAAGAAATCACTACCGATTATGCACTAGCATAGGGGTTCTCAGACCGGCAGAATCAGCACTTGCTGGGAACTTGTTAAAAATGCAAATTCACAGGCCCACCCAGACCTACCCAGTCAGATTCCTGAGGGTGGGCACAGCAATCTGTTGTCACAGGCCCTCCAGATGATTATGATGCCCACTCAAGTTTCAGAATCACTGAACAAATCAAGAACACATTGGGAAAAAAAGACCTACCACTCTGAGAATTTTTTTAAATGCATTTTAAAAAAATTAATCAAAGTATTAGTAAGCAATCTCCCTGGCATGGATTCTTTCATAGGACAACTATGATATGCAGTAATAGTCTATGGAAAAATAAAACCTATAAACTTATCCAAGAATAGGTTCCTAACCTAAAAGGTTACCATTTTAGGTCTTTGTTCCTCATTTGATTTTTATGTTCCTTTTTCATTAATATTGTAGCTGATTTGCTTTTGGCAAAGATTTCCTACACTGTTGGGTAAACAAAAGTGTAAATTATTACCAATCACTCAGTGAGATAAAATAAACAGTAATCATCACCAAATTTTTCTCCCTTGTTAATTACAATATCCTAAGAACCACATAAATCAAGCCCTTGTAAAACTAATGAATAAAGTGATTATGTCTTGCATGAAGAAGTTCCATGTTAAATATCAATAAGTTATTTTCTTACACAAACTACATGTACACTTTTAAGCGAATTTCTTTAGCAGTGACCTTAGGAAGCCTTATTTCTTTCATGGCAAACATCCGATTACTGCTTTCCTGCTGAACCAAAAGAGCTCTGCCAAAGGAGCCCTCCCCGATCACTCTCAGGACTACGTAGTCATCCATGCTGGGGCAGCCTCACAGCTGGGCTCCACTCATGCAGTCGTCATGGGCTCCTGCAAACTACATTCAAGAACAGAAGCAATTGAGAATTAAATTTACTTTCAAAAGGCAGAATGAATTCAAAGTAGTGCAATTCATCATGACAAGACAACAGCAATGTATTCCTTTTGAAAGAGACCAGTGTATGCAACCCCAAAATATGCCCCTTCAGTGTAAGAATTGTTTTGAGCTGAAAGCAATTTGCTCTTTGCCCTCCCTCTTTCTGTCTAAATGTAGGGCACAAATTTTCCTATGTACAAGCAACAAATTTCTATTTGCAAAAGTGTCTTCCTCTCCAGTACTAGGAAGAGAACAACTCTTATTAATGGGGGTAGGTACCAATTTGAGTCTGCATAACAAACTTCACTAAATAACCCTTATCTTGTTAGTTCCCACATATTTATCTTCCTACAGTTTATCCTAGAAGCTCAACCTTTCCCTCTCTCTAGCTCTTCCTCCATAATTTACCACTCTTTGTTAAAATGGTATATAAGCTCCCTGATCTAACATTTCTTTACATTCATGCATATGTAATAAACTTTTTCTCCAGTTAACCTGTCTTTTGTTCATTTATTTTGCAGGGCTCCAGGTAGTGAGCCTAAAAGGGTGGAGAAAAAAAGGTTTTTTCCTCTTCAAGGTAGACTCTCAGCACCAACTCTGAGTCAGATGTTATAATCCTGAACAAATCTCTCATAGTCCCTGCCATTGTGGGCGTCCCATGCAGAAATAACCATAATCCTCCACAAATGTAAGGTGGTGAGTCTTACAGAAAGATCTATGCTGGCCTGCTGCAGAAATATCCAGAGAAATAGTATTTAAGCTGAAGCCTGAAGGATGAATGGAAGTTGGCTAGGCAAAGAGGAGGGACAGAGTGATCAAGGAAGAGGGAATCACATATTTAAGAACTAAAGACATTGTGTTCGGTTCAAGACATTGAAAGAAGAATATAACAGGTTAATAAGGTAGACAGGGTCATATCTGAAGGCCACTGTAAGCCAAATTTAAGTGGCTAGATTTTATCCTCAGGATAATTAATGGGCTGTGTCTGAAGCAATATAAAATCATATCAAAATTGCATGTTAAAAATCATATTTGCATATTAGAAAAAATCACTCACTCAGGCTACAGACTGAATGGACCAGATGGTGGAGGGGCAGTAGGTCAGATCAGAGACAGGCCAGTTAGGGCCCCCCACAATAGATAAGGCAGGAAAATAATAATGAAATGAAATAGAGTGGTGGAATGGGGATGAAAAATGGGAGTAGTAACAGTTGACAAGCTGATAAGATTCTTGGTGATAAATTTATGCAGGACAACCAGGAAGAAAGAGGCAAGGTTGACTCCCAGGTTTCTGGCATGAACTGGGTGAATGGTGACACCATTCCTGAGAGAGGAAAGGCACAACGATTGTTATGTCTGGTTTTTTGTTTGTCTGATTTTTCTGGTGGTGGGAGTGTGGCAGGGGTGGGGCAAAACATGAGGGAGAAGGGAGACATGCTCCTATTTGGACATGTTGAGCTAGAGGTGCCTGGGACTCAATATTAAACAGACATCTAGAGTCTTTGACTTCAGCTTCCCCCTCTACATTTCCAGGATGAAACAGCTGGTAGGGCTGCTTCATACATAAGAGAAAATGAATAGAAAGTTCCTGGGCCAGGTGTGATGGCTCATGCCTGTATTGCCTGTAATCCCAGCACTTTGGGAGACTGAGGCAAGAGGATTCTTTGAGGACAGGAGTTCGAAACCAGCCTGGGCAACACAGAAAGCCACTGTCTCTACAAAGAAAAAAAAATTAGCTAGGTGTGGTGGCACACACCTGTAGTCCCAACTACTCCAGAGGCTTGAAGCCGGGAGTTTGAGGCTGCAGTGAGCTATGAATGCACCATTGTACTCCAGCCTAGGCAACAGAGCAAATAATGAATGAATGAATGAATGCATGAAGTTCCTAACACTTTGCCTGGTACACAAAACGTCCTGAATAAATGGCAGCTATTATTATATTATTATTAAACCTTAGAAGGTGACGCATTTTTTTAATTACAGGAAAAACACTATAATGAATACATGAGTTTTCAAAAAGTTCATCTACAGTGTTTTTTTTAAATTTTTCTTTAAACATCACACCACAAAGGTTTATAAGACAGAGAAAGCATGACAGGTAAAGCAAAAGTCACAAACTAAACCCTATAATATAGAGACCTATAAAATTTCCAGTTTGTACTCCTGCCTATCATAGAATTACCAGGAAATACTAGAAATAATTTCTCCATATAACCAAATCAGATGCATTATCTTCAAAAACAATTCTTTTCAAGAATATTTATGTCTTGGAGTGTTTAGGCACGTGCAAGAAGTCCTTTACCACTATTCTAACTGACCCCTGGTATTTAACAAGGAAGCCAAGTTTTCCCATGTTTCTGCTCTTTGTTTCTTCGTGGCCTTGCTCTACGCAACAGAGAGTAACTGGAAAGCGAGAGCAACCAGACTTTTCTTAGCTGAAAACCACATTTGGTCCTGTCTGCTCTCAGTCAGTATTACACTCATAAGACCATCACAAGACCTGAACATGATCTGCATGTGTCAAGCAAATCTATTGGTCTCTTCGCATGTCGAGTGCAAACAAAACAAAACAAAAAACCAAAAAAAAAAAAACCAAAACAAGGCAAAAAATCCTAATAAAGTGTTTTGCAATGCCCACAAGTGGGATCACCGGTGAGGCAGGCTAAGCTCTGCAAGTGCACGCGCAGCAGCCGCGCTAGCGGGGAGAGCAGCCACCCCGTCCACGCGCGACCAAACCCTCGTTCCCGGACCCGCCGCCCCGCCCCCACGAGGCCAGGCCCCGACCCCCGGCCTGAGCCCCGCGGGCTGCCGCGGGGGTCCGCGGCCGGACGGCGGGGCGGAGTCCGCCACTCAATCCCGCTCGGCTTAGCGACCTCCAGCCCCACAGGCCCCGCGGCGCGACCACCCGCCGCGCCCCTCCCTCCAGAGGCGCCGCTCACCGCGTCCCCGGCGACCCGCGTCCGCTCCCGCCCCGCCACTGGCGGCTTCCGCGGAGCGCGCCGGGCCGGTTGTCTCTCTGGTTACGGTAAAGGAAGCCGCCTGGGGCTGGCGGGAGGCTCTGTTCTCGGAGTAGCCGGGCCTAGGAAGAGCACGTTTTAAAGCTGTTGCTCCAGGTTGTTCGGGAACGATGCTAATACTATTGAGGGAAAGTGACTCCACCCGCCCCCAGTAGCTTGAGTTCTGTCTCCAGGTTAAGCAAACAGCCAATGCAGGTAAGTTTTACAGGCACAGCACTCAGAGCTAGCTAGCACTTGGCAACCGTGCGACCTTTGGCCAGCGTAGAGGGCAGGGGAATGCTTTCCCATCTCCACTCCCAAAGGTGGCCACGTCCTACTCCCTGGGACCTGTGCATTTGTTCCCTCACGTGGCGAAAGGGAATTAAGATTGCAGATGGCATTCGGGTTGCTGGTCTGATGACTTTAAAATAGGGAGATGATCTTGGATCATCTATCTGGGTGAGCTCAGTGTAATCACAAGGATCCTGTAAAGTGGAAGGTGGGCCAGAGAGGAGGTCGGAGTCAGAGGGAGATTTGAAGATGGAGGAAGGGGCCCCAAGAAGCTGGAAAAGGAAAGGAAACAAACGGCCCCCTTAGAGCTTCCCGAAGAAACCAAGTCCGGTTGACACCTTGATTTTAACCCAGTGTGATCTACTGTTACAGCAAGTGTTACAGCAGGTGGGCCTGAGGACAAACCGAGAGGCACACATAGAGAATCAAAGTTTATTTGCCGGTGGGCTCAGAGAGGCCTCGCCACCAAATTCTGAGCCCCGTCTACCGAATTTTCCCACTTTAATTAAGTTGGGGTGGTCCAAGGGGTGGGATATCAGGTGACTAATGCCTGCCAGGTTAGTTGATGTGTCTGGTAATAGGTTAGTATTATGTTGATGCACCAGGTAATAGGATAGTTGTTGCACCAAGTAATAGATTTAGTGTTATGCTGATGCCAGGTAATAGATTGGTTGGGTGGGCCAGGTAATAGGTTAATAATATGCTGATGTGGGTTTGGGTTTTCCGTGAGGGGTGGGGGTCTCAGGTGCCTGATGAGCCAAGTAATAGATGGGGGTTTTCCTTATCACTACTGCAAATTTCTGACCTTCAGAACTTTTGAGGTAATAAATGCATGTTGTTTTAAGCCACTATGTTTGTGATAGTTTGTGACACCAGCAATAGGAAACAAACACAGCAAAGTTAACTAAACTTCTCTGTATAAAAATACAGTACCTCGCTTACAGGATTATTGTGAACAACATCTAATCATATTTTACTTGTAAATGCTGAATGTGTTCACTATAACAAGTGTCAACCAAAGAGTCACAGAGACTGAAATCCAAGTAAAGATGTTTACTAGTGGTCTTAGAATTGCAAATCGAGGAGCACTGATTCCAGAAGCATCTGAAGTTGTGTCTCAACCAGCTATTTTGGGGTAGGGTTTTTAAAGGAAATAAATGGAAGTTAGTATTCGTTAGTTCATTCATGACCAACTGTTTTGCTTGGTGGTAAAGGATTATCGTGTCAATTCATTGATTTCTAGGCCGAAGTCCTTGATCCAGGAATTTGGAGAAAGTTCCCTACTCACCGTAAAGTGCTTTTCATAAGAGGCAGCAATTTTGTCTGCAGCATCAGCAAGCCATTCTGCAGTCAGGCAGTTGCAAAATGTCACTCAGGAACAAAATGGCCTTGCTCTGGTCAGCTGGTTGACTTTCTTCCGCTCACTCTGTAGGTCATGATAACAGTAGGGACTCAAGTATAATGTTACAAATGGTCAACATTTGGAACATCTGCACTGCCTTCTTTGTACTCAATAAACAAAGACTGCTTTTAAGTAGAAACAAACAAAACAAAAACTACTACACATGCCTGTACCCAGAATGCTGCTATAGCTCGCATTCCTATGGACTACTGCTCCTAAGAATTGAGCAATGGGCACAGATTTTGATCACCTTAAGTTAGTAAGTGCATCAGGGGAGAAGGTGACAACGGTGCCCAACTCTTTTTTTTCCCACCCAATGTGGGAAAAACACAGTCATGAAAAGGATTCTTCCCTCTGTCCCATCAATGTATTAGTTTGCTTGGGCTGCTGTAACAAAGTACTACAAACTGGATGGCTTAAACAAACAAATTTATTGTCTCACAGTTCTGGAGGCTAGAAGTCCAAAATAAAGGCGTTGACAGTGTTGGTTCCTTCTGAGGACTGGGGGAGAAAGATCTGTTCCAGGCCTCTTTCCTTGACTTGTATGTGGCCACCTTCTCCCTGTGTCTCTTACATTCTCTTTCCTTTGTGGGTGCTGTCCCCGAGTCTAAGTTTCCCCTTTTTATGAGGACACCCATCATATCAGATTGGGAGCCCACCCTAATCCTCATCTTAACTAATCACATCTACAGCAACCCTGTTTCCAAATCAGATTACATTGTGAGGCACTGCATATTAGGACTCCAGCATATCTTTTGCAGGGGGTGGGGTGTGGACAATGCAACCCTATCACAGCAAGCATAGACTGGTGAGGGTCGGGGACAGGGAACAGTGAGAGAAAGTCTGGCCCCTTTTCTATGCAGCTGTTGCCAAGCTATGGATACCCAGCCAGGGGAGCTTCTAAACTGGGTAATAGCCAGAAATATATAATAAAATGCTCTTATTATAGACAACATATATGAGTTACTAAGGGTTGGGTACTATTTTAAATGAGTTAATACATGTAAAGTGCTTCGATTAGGACCAGATAAGTGTTAGCTATTAACTCACTTAAACCTCAAAACAACCCTAAAAGTAGGTACAATTATTACCTCTGAAGCACAGAGAGGTTAAGTTATAGGCCTCAGGACCCACAGCCAATAAGTGGTAGAACCAGAATTAGAATCCAGATAGTGTGATTCCAGAGTCTGGCTCCTAACCATGACACTGCAGCAATGTCACAAAGAGAGATATTGCAGCCATAAGCAGTGCTTGTGCTCGAAGCTGATGGTTACGATGTCTGAAGAGGACACACTGGATTCAGCAACGTGGTCATGATATGTCGGGGAGAAACCAGACTATGGCGATTGAGGTGGGATGGTCAGAGGCCACAAGGAGCATAGGATACTTTTAAGAAACTTAGCCACAAAAGAAAGAAGAGAGGGTGATGGCTGGGTAGAGGGAATCACAAGATTATGAGAATATTTTATTAACAGGGAAATTGTAGGTATGATTTTTTTATGTTGAGGGATAATAAATCAATGGAAAGAGAGAAAGGAAGAAAATCCTAGAGGCAGAGAGAACAAGAAATGTCTAGGTGGTACTGAAGGGATAGTTTTTGAAGCCCAGTGAAACAAGTAGCTTCAGACTAGATGGGGGACAGACAGATTTACTTCTGAGACAGGAGGAGGAGATGAGGACAGGTGTGGATGAAGATGATATTATAGAAGGAAAGGAACTTTGAGAGCCTCAATTTGTTCTGTAAAATAGAAAATTAAGGCTGGGTGCGGTGGCTCACGCCTGTAATCCTAGGACTCTGGGAGGCCGAGGCAGGCGGATTGCTCAAGGTCAGGAGTTCAAAACCAGCCTGAGCAAGAGTAAGACCCCGTCTCTACTATAAATAGAAAAAAATTAATTGGCCAACTAATATATATAGAAAAAATTAGCTGGGCATGGTGGCGCATGCCTGTAGTCGCAGCTACTTGGGAGGCTGAGGCAGGAGGATCGCTTGAGCCCAGGAGTTTGAGGTTGCTGTGAGCTAGGCTGATGCCACGGCACTCACTCTAGCCTGGGCAACAAAGCGAGATTCTGTCCCAAATAAATAAATAAGTAAATAAAATTAAGCCATCTGGCCAGGTGCACGGGTGGCTCATGCCAGCACTTTGGGAGGCTGAGGCGGGAGGATCACCTGAGGGCAAGAGTTGGAGGTTGCAATGAGCTATGATCACACCACTGCACTCTGGCTGGGGTGACAGAGTGAGACCCTGTCTCAAAAAAAAAAAAAAAAAAAAAAAGAAGAAAGAAAATTAGGTCATCTATAGAGAGGGTGTTGGGGCAGAAATCTTGAGGAGAATTTAGTTTTTAGTCAAATTTTTATATTTATTAGTCACATAACAATCAAATTCTGAGTACTGAAGTTTTGGTTATTGTTGTCAGAATATGAGAGGAAGCTCAGGTGGACAAAGTCTATTGAGCCACTTGGAGGTGATGCCAATCCATAATGTGTCAACATCTAGCAGTGAGAGGTTTGCATAAATCCAAAACTGAGATTATGCAGATAAGTAAAACAGAAGTATGCTGATGTGAGAGAGTTTAAGGGTATTGATATAAGAATGGTTGAAATGACACCCTTGGTATCTAGGCTGAATATCCTTGTGAAGGAAGTGAAGGCTAGACCGGCACCAACCCATACGTACCCACTTGACATGTGGCCATTGAGCACTTAAGAAGTGGTTAGTGTGACTAGGGATATGCTATAAATGTAAAATACACACAGGATTTCAAAGACTTCATGCAAAAAAATTAATGTGAAATCTCTCATTGATAAAATTTCTTACATTAGTTACACATAGGAAAGATGTTTTGGATATATTGGGTTAAATAAAATATATTATGAAAATTAATTATACATATTTCCTTCTACTTTTCAAGCCATAACTACTAGGATATTTTAAATTACATATGTAGCTTGTAATATATTTCTGTTTGTAGTGCTGGCCTGGAAGTTCACAATGGGGAGAGGCAAACATTTGGGGAACTGGAGGTCTGGAAGGACTACAGGTCAAAGAACAAGTACACACAGGGCAAGGGAGAATAGTTGGGAAGAGAACGAGACCATAAAGTCTTAAGATTTCGAATGTGGACAGTTCTTGGCAATGTCAAAGTCCATGCTGTGGCCTAGGAATCAGTTGCTGAAGTAGGAGGCAAAGTTCATGGGCCCGAGTGTGCAGGAGAGACGGAGTTGTATATTCCATTTTTATTCTGTAAGTGGTTTTACCTTTTATCTTTTCAAAGGAAAAGTCATACTTTTATGAGGTATAATTGACATACAGCTCACCCGTTTTAATTGTGCACTTTGATGAGTTTTGGCATATAGCCATGTAACCACTATCAAGATACACGGCATTTCCATTACTCCGAAAGGTTCCCTTATGTACTTTTGCAGTCGATCCCTTCCCCCGGCCTTTTGCCCCATGACAACCACTGACATGCTTTGTTAATGTAATTTTATCTTGTGTAGAATTTTCATACAAATGGAATTGTCGATGGAAAAACCCAAACTCTGTAAAATAATTTAGAGAGGTTTATTCTGAACCAAATATATGTGACCGTGGCCCAGGGACCAAGCTCTCCAGAGATCTTGAGAAAATGAGGCCGAGGTGGCCAGGTTACAGTTTGGTTTTATATATTCATGGAGACAGGAATTACCACAAATTCCTGTAAAACCATAAATGGAAGGTATACATTGGTTCGGCCCAATAAAGCGGGACATCTCAAAGCAGGGGCTTCTAAGTCATAGGTGGGTTTTAGAGATTCTTTAGTTGGCAATTGGTTGAAAGAGTTAAGGTTTGTTTAACCCTCTTAGTGCGACGGGCAGAAATATTGGCTTTTGCGTCTAGGGCAAAAAAGCTGATATTTCGGACGGCCCCACTAAGAGGGATAAAGACGTGGAGTCAGGAGAAAGGAATACTCGAGTTAAGATAGGGGTCTGATAGAATGCTGGAGGTAAGATAAAGTGGTCTGTCATATGATGCTATGCCACAATCAGGTTGGAAAGTAAACCACATTACACCAGGTTAATAAAATCCATTCAGTGAGATTTTATTGTTTTTAGGCGTGACTCACCAGGCCTCTTAGGAATCTGGGCAAAAGAAAAAAGGTCAGAGTTCAGCCCTCCGAATCATATGGTAGGTAAATTTTTGTCTGGCTTCTTTCACTTAGTGTGTCTTTGATATTCATCTATATCGTTATATTTATCAGTAGTTTGTTTCGTTGCTTTCCATTGTGTGGATATTGTTAAGCCTGGAGGAGACACACACAAAGCCTCAAGTGTAGCAAAATGCTGTTTATTTTGAGCACCTGGGTGCAGATGGATGGAAGTGAAAAAGTGTCCACACCCACGGAGGGAAAAGCGTTGGGTTTTATAGAGAGTCTTTCCAGGGGGAGTGTACAACACCTGCAGAAATAAGGGAGGGAAATGACTTTGTCCTTATCAGGGGGCATAGAAATGCCAGTGTCACTGTAGCTGTCTGTAGTCCTGTAACTGTCTGTGGTTAAAATTAAATTTATAACCTCTGACTCTCCAGCCTTCTGCGACTTTTGTTTCACAGACTTTATAATGCTTTTTGGGCTCCCATCTGAAACAAACCTAACAGATACAGCACACAATTTTTTTTTTATTCACCAGTCGATAGACCTTTTGAGTTATTTCCTGCTTTGGGCTAACATGAATGGTGCTGTTATGAACATTTGAGTATAATCTTCAGGAGGACATATTTTCATTTCTCCTAGATACTTAAGAATCAAATTGCTGGGTATTGACCTTACATTTTGTTTTTAATATTTAAACCTCCAGTACTTAATAGATGAAATTAAACAAATATAGCAAAAACTTTAGTAAGAGCTTTAATTCTTTACTTTCTTTTGTCCTTGCTACCTGTCCTGAAATCAAAGGGGGGAGGGGACATTCCATATAACTGCTTTGTAGTCTTTAATTATGTGGACTTTGTGTTTTTTAAAATTTGATTTGGTGTGTGTGGCTAATACTTTTTAAATCTTAGATTTACTTTTCATTTTACTGGACTAAGACATTTAGGAACACTTCCAGATAAATTCATGAGCAGTAAACTGAATCCTTTTTTGTTTGAAAATGTCATTTTGCCTTTAAACTTGGTAGGTTGGGCATAGAATTCTAAGCTCACCATCCATTTTTCTTACAGAATTTTGAAGATCTCAGGTGCCACAATTGGTCTGGGCCCTGAATGAATGTCTTGCACTTGTACCCACAGAGGTGGAGCTAGTCCTGTTGCTACTACCTGCTGCTAAAGTGTGTGGACTCTATCAGGCCCTTCAATTAGATTCCTTATAAATGGGTCTTGCTTAAGAAAGCCCTCCCTGTCCTAAGGATAAAAATGTATGTTACATTACCTTTCAACAGTACTTAACTATTTATCCTGCTTGGAATTTATTTTTGTAAGTGGCGTGAGGCAGGGACTTTCTTCTTCCCAAAATGGACAGCCAAGTGACTCACAGCCATTCTTTCCTCCACTATTCTGAAATATATTTTTTGCTAAATTCCCATGTAGTCAGTGTTACATTGATTTGTATCAATGAAAAGTTTGCCAAGATTTAGTACATTAGAAAAAAAGCATTACAGAACCATACATGAAGTATGGTATTTATGTCCAACAAAGCAAAACAAATAAGTTTAATACACACACACAGGTATTAAGATGGTCTATGTATGTTAAATACAAAAAAATTGGAAGGATATCATATTAATATTGCATTTAAGGGTAGTGGTTGGAATAAGACTTCTGCTTTATCTGTATTTCAATTTAACCACAATAGTTTGGATAATATACAACTGATAGGCTGTAGAAAATACCAGGCAAAAAAGTCTGCTTTTCCCTGGGTACCTACTTCATTGTTCCATTGGGGTCTTTGTTCCCCAACCCTCATGTGGTCACCCAGTGCCTATTTACATACTGCAGGTCTAACTACATTAAAAAAAAAAAAAAAAAGTATTTGTCCTGATTACAAATTCCTATGGAAAGGTCTCTGACATGTCCAGCTTAGGTCAGGTGGCCATTCCTGGCAAATCAACCTAGGGGACAGGTAGGTCATATGGTACAAAATGACTGTGGGGAGGGATTTATCCATTTTACTCTTCAGAAAGATGAAGGTCAGCGAAGTAACTTCTCCAAGGTCAACAACTTTTAAGGAAAAGGAGGAGCTTGAGATTTTGGAACACTGGTCCATTTGACACATGCACAATATCACATTGAGATATTTAGCTTGGAACAAACCTAGGTCAGAGATGTGATAGCTGTTCTTAAGCATCTGAAAAGGAGTTAGAATTTTGGCTATAAATGTTAGAACGAGGAACATTTAGAGACAGATTTTCCTTCAGTTAAGGGGAGTGTGGGGGGGAAGCCACTCTAAGAAACTTATCTAAACATAAGTTAGTATCTCGAGTTCTCTTTCACTGAGGTATTTCCAGCTATGATATACAAATGAATTATGTGGTACAGATATTAAAAAGCTGTGTGTATGACAGCTTGAACTTTATTTCAAAACAACATATTTTGGGTTATTCATCACATAAAGTAGGAAAAAAACTAAAGAACATAGGTATTTCTATGTGAAAAAAGTTGTGTAACTTTTTAGATAAGTAGATTGATGATCATTTTTTAAAAGGAAACACACCAATAAGCACATACTTAATTCATGTATCAAAAACTCCAAGTCAAATCTTACTACAATGTATTTCAAAAGCAAAGCTCAAATTCATTCACTGTGGTTCAACTCCATTTCATAAAATATTTGTTAAAATAAACATCACTGGGACATCATTATACAAACATTTTTATTTTATAAGTTTTAGGTACACAGTTAAAAAATAAAAATCCTACTCCCTAGAACACGAGACAATAAATAGAACAGAGATATACAACTGGAATGAACATAAATAAGACTACATATGTGATGTTCAATCACGTTCATATTACATGCATAGTTTCTAAACTCATCTTTTACACTTAAAATTCACTTATTTGAAACTGTAGAGTTGACAGAGAAAATATGGCATTTAAGTATTAGTTTGGGACCTTATAAAATAATATTATTGGTGATATTTATGAGTGGGGAGAAGAAAACTTACTGTATGTAACTATCATGTTTCAGGGGACATGATTTAACAGTGATGTTTTTATATTATGAAGAAGAAAGCAAGTGTGAGTATTGGTTATTTTAGAAATGTTACCAACTAGAATGATATTTATTAAATATTATATTCCTTCCCTAATTCTATTCTAATAGTTTTATAAACTATCAAATGAAGCTTTGAAAGTTAAAATTTCTAGATAGTCAAGTTACAAAAGGAATTCAAATTAATGTTTTGAATATCCACTAAATTTGGCACATTTTCTTTCTTACACAAAGTACTTTTTCTTAGAAATGGGGTTTGTAGTTAACTATCCTTCTTGGTGGCCTCAGGTACAATCAAAAGAAAGAGACCAAGAGACCACAGGTACAGACTCACTATCACTGATGAAAAGTGACAGTGAAGACCCAGAGGCAGTCCAAGGGACACAGGCACAACAGTCCAGTTGTGCACAACTCCTGCTATAACATGAATGTTCGTAAAGGAGCTCACTGCCATGAATACTTAGGATCCATAGGTAATTGGTCAACTCCAGATATTAGGGAAATACAAAGCTACATGAAACAAAACACCCCAGGAATAATAAAAACCCCATTCCTTATCAGAGCTTTATTTTTCTTCTGTTGTTTCAGTCTCGGAGTACAGCCGGCACAGTGCTACATTAGGGCGGCAAACAAAAGCATCAGTTTCACTTCCCAACTCTGTTAACTGTTCCAATGAAGACACACAAGGATAATGGTCTTTTAACATATCTGGCAATTTAGAAGTTTTTTCTTGAAGACGTCGAGAACGTCTCACTGGTGTTAAGAACTTCAGCTCTTTAAATGTTGAATTTGTTTCGTCAAATTGCACCTTCTTTTTTACACTGAAAAAACACAAAATTATTCCCAGAATTCTAAAACATGTTAACAACATTTTTACTTTGTACTTTCATGCTATTTATCATACTATAACTTGTATGTTGTAAGCATGTCATTGGTTGTCTTATAAAAGGGAGAGTTACTACAAGTAGTGAGGAACTTATCCTTTTCTCTATTGATTGTTACAACTTGTACACAGTAGATACCTGAGTATCAGTAGAAATGACTTAAATCCTCAATTCCAAGACCAACTGTTATTAATATCACACAACAATCAAAGTAAAATCATGTGAAAGTTTTCTTTTTCAAAATGACAAGGGAAAGGAAAGCAAATATAGTATTAAAAAGGTGAAATGTTCAATGACATTCCATTTGTTTAAAAACCTTTCTAATAAGTAGTAGTTCTAATCTGAAACTATCTCAAAGATTTAAAAATGTCTTATTATCCCTAAGCATGACAACAAATCATAGCACATTACATTTTAAAAGCTTACCTTTGCAAGTATGGTGTAGTAGATACATTATATTTAATTAAGCAACTTCCCCTAGTTTCTGTATTGGGGGTTTTAACATCATTGGTTGGCTCTTTTTCACACTCTTGAAATAGCACATTTCTATGATGTTTATTCTCTATTTCTGGTGTTTCTGGCTCTAAATTCACACCTATATCTTCACACTTGATTTCTTGGACTTCTTCCTTGGTTGCACAAGCCTCAATATTTTCGCCTATAGAAAATACATGTACAAGTTAAGCTTCTGGCCAAATTTTAAGAACAAAATCAGAAGACATTAAAGTTATTCCTAGTTAGCCAAAATTTCAAAATAAAAGAACAAAACTGCCATCTCCTAACCATTACTTTTCCTAAGCAAATACTGCTGCTAGCCATTTAACAAATATTTACTATCTTGTATGTGTCAGAGATTATAGATACAAATGTAAGAATAAAATCATCCCTGTACCTTACATTTACATGCCATGGAAGAGACATACTTGAACAAAGGTTTATTGAAACCCATAAAAAGGAACTAACTTTTTCTTGTGGCTAGGAAAGGCTTCACAGGTAACATTTATGCTGGGTCTAGAAAAATGAGTACTTGACAAGACCAAGGAAGACAATCTTGGTATGAAGCATAAAAGAAAATTATCTATGAAGATAACATTAAAGAGCAGTGTGTTTAGAATATAGGGTAAGGAGCAAGGTGGGAGTGGGAGCAGGAGGTGATGAGCTCAGATAGGTAGGCAGGGGCTGGACTGTAATAAGCTTTATATGCAAGAAGTTTGGTAAAATATTCATCACAGAGACAATTAGATTTTGTCAATGTAAAACACTGTTTAGGATGGCAGGGAATGAAAAGTAACACTCTGATGGTAAGACAAAATTGTTGTAATAGCCAAAGTATTAATAAGAGGTCACATAGGAAGGAAGGGTGGAAATGAGAAATATTTCTGAGAACTTGATGAACAAATGAATGCATGTCTGTGTCTGAAGGAGTGTGCACATGTATCAGGAACATCTCTTCTAAAATTTCTTGCTTAGAAGTCATTAACATGAGAGGAGAGTTTCTTCATTTTCTATTCTGAGAGAAAGGGATGATAGGTATGGGGAAGCAGTGAGAGAAGACAAAGAGTTCAAAATAAAACATGGTAGATGTGAAATACTTGTGAAACATCCTGGTAAATCTAATGAATGAAAAGACCTCTGGATTAGATTATTAGCAAAATTATTAAAGATATTTACTAAGAGATGTTTACTAAAATGATGTAACTATGGTTTTTTTATTGAGTGGAAGTTGAAAAGAGGAGAGAAAGAATATGGATTTATTCAACAAATATTTAAGTGCCTAATTTAAGTGCCAAATATTTAAGTGCCTAACAGGTCACAGTAATTGGCCCAACCATCATCTGAATCAAGAAAATGTTCACACATTTTATATGACTGACAGTTACTGAATCTACTATCCAGCAAAGAGAATTCTTGAATGAGTTGTTTTTTACAGCATACAACAGATCATAGAATTTAGTAGGTGAAAGGTCTTTAGAGATCATCTAATCAAACTGCCTCATTTTTAAGACAGAATATTAAGGCATAGAGAGGTAAATGACAAATTTGAACCAGACCTAATTAAAAATTCTTTATATTACATAAAGCCACTTATTTTAGAGGTAGGTCAACAGAAGTATGTACAAAGAAAGAACCTATATATTTTTTAAAGTTATTTAATAAAAATGATAAAAAAAATTCAGCAAAGAAAGTTAATGAAATCACAATTCACTTGAAGGAAACAAAAGAAACTAAAACTTACCAAAATTAACTTTTTCTTGACTCTTCATTGTTAGAATATCTACAATTGTGTGTCGCATCTCTTCAATAGGCTTAATTTTTTATAATGAAAAAAGCATACTCATATAAATTTTACATTCTCAGACATTAACTAGATTGTCCAAGTTGAAAATATTAAAACCAGTGATTAAAATTTCATACAGTATTTTAAAATAAGGCCATGGATCTTAAACTATGCTTTTCAGAACACTGATAGAATAAAAATTAACTTAAAAGATAGAATTTCATCAGTTTGAAAATTTCCTTCATAATTTTTCTTAAGCATTTGATAACTATTACTGATTGTCTGATATGAACAAAATTAATGAATAGATGGCAAATTAACATTATTAATATCTATTAAAGAGCTGGTTATCTTAAGTTTAACAACTTTTCTCCTACATTGAAAGTCAATAGTTATATTTTGTTTCACGTTTTTTAAATGTATCTCCAAAGAGCTTAAGGCTGATGTTATTTCATTCATTCAAAAATTTACTGTGTCCATCATTTGCCAGATATTATAAGCACTTATTATGTTCTATTCAACATATTCAAGGTATTGTAAGGGAAGCTCTGGCTCACAATCTTAGTTCCAGAACTTAGTCCTGAAATCCTCAGCTACCCTTTCAACTTTGTTGGCTAATTTTTTGTTTTTAGGAGACAGGGTCTGGCTATGTTGCCCAGATTTGACTTAAACTCCTGGGCTCAGGCGATCTTCCCATCTCAGCCTTCCAAGTAGCTGGGACTACAGGAATGTGCCACCATGCCTGGCTGTCTTGGTTAATTTTGATTCTTGGTTTCCAGTTTCTATATCTTTCTCTTTACATTACTGCTTTCTATCTGAGCCTTGGTTCCAATTTTGCATCCTAGCTACACTGTAATAAGCTGCCTTAAGTGATGTCCTTTCTGAGTCAATGTAGTAGAGACTTAACACTCTCTTCCAGGTAGCATTCTGTTAATATAATTAACCTTCTAGAAAGAGTTTTACATATAATAGCCACTGAAAGACTATCTGCTGAACATCAGATTTTTGATTAAGGTGAAAAGGCAAATTAGCACTTGTTGGATTTACTGAGACTAAAGTGAATAGACCTTTATTTTTAAAAGGCTAAATGGAGGAATTAAAAAAATGTTTCTATGTAAACAATCTCTAAGAATGTGTTTCTGAGAAACTTGGTCAAAAGGAAGTAAGTTTTAGGAACATTTATCCATAAAAACAAACAAAACCCAACTAAACAAAATTCTGGAGAAATGACCTATTCCATATCCAAAGCTTGTATATCAAAAGACTAGAAAAGGTGAGAGAGGTATGGTATCAAGCCACTATGGTGGTAATCATGTTAGAGAAACTAGTTTATCATCATTTATATGTAGGCAGGACCAACTTATAGTGAATATATTCAGTTATATATGCCTAAAGTGAAAGAGTTTTCTCACAAAACCATGACAGTGGGATAACATTTTAAATGCTAATTTAATGGTGGCTCACGCCTGTAATCCTAGCACTCTGGGAGGCTGAGGTGGGCGGATTGTTTGAGCTCAGGAGTTTGAGACAAGCCTGAGCAAGAGTGAGACTCTGTCTCTACTAAAAATAGAAAGAAATTAGCTGGACAACTAAAAAAAATATATATATAAAAAATTAGCCAGGCATGGTGGCACATGCCTGTAGTCCCAGCTACCTGGGAGGCTGAGGCAGAAGGATTGCTTGAGCCCAGGAGTTTGAGGTTGCTGTGAGCTAAGCTGATGCCACGACATTCTAGCCCAGGCAACAGGGCGAGACTCTGTCTCAGAAAAATAAAATAAAAAGCTAATTCCATTTGTTTTATATTCACAAAGTAAATTTTAATATTAAAAATTTAGTTTCCCAGGTAAATTTCCCAACTAGGAAATGTATACAATGACACGCTAAAATATTTCTCACAGAAAGGTTCATTAAATTTACACTTCAGCTTATATCCATTTCCTAAAGTCTGATTATCCCTAGTATAGGAGCAAAGCTTTAGAAGGCTAAGAAACAGCTTTTATAATGTAATCCTTGTGGCCTTTAAACATTCATTACTACTATATAACCATATAATCAAGTTACATTGTGATGTGGTCCAAAGTAATTGTGGAATGTCTACACTGTAGTAATAAAGATCAGCAAATTTTAATCTCACCTGAGCCCCTGCCAGAATGGCCTTCTCATAGATTGCAATAATATTTTCAATAGGACTTGTGATTGGTTCAGTACGTGCAAGACATATCCAATATTTAACAAGTTTTGTGGCATCTGGAATATTTTTAATCAGGTCATTCAGTGTGACCAGTATTTCTTCTTTTGGGCATCCCTAAAACAGTTAAGAAATAATGAGTGTGATATACTTTAGCCTACAAACTGTGAACAATAATTGTGTCCACTATAATAAAGATTAGTGATAAAGACAGAAAAAGTTGATAGATATTCAAAAAACATTCACTATTATTATCCTCCTTATTCCAAACTTACTTTGAACAGCTAACAAGAAGCGTTATCAGCCATGAGCATAAGGTAGCAAAAATGAAAGTTGGGGTATTTATTAG